ACGACCTCCAAATAATCATTAACTAACGGTCACTAAACACCACACATTTCTATTTTCAACCTTAAATCTAATTTAAAAATAATGTAGAAAAAATGAACTAAAATGTTGAGATTTTTTGATGAAATATGCTTAAATATAACTCAAATTTGTTTTATTATTACTTTTAGTAAACTATCATCTCTCATCCTTACTCGGTCTCTTTTCCAACCCAATCTCGCTTTGCCTTCTGAAATTAACTGCCAATCTTTCTTTATACTAACTCATCACTTTGTTCTGTCACTCTTTTTTCCTTTCCCTCACTCTCTCTTCTTTTAACCTAACATTTCTTTCTCCTCATGCATATTCTCTCTTTCTCCTAGCGCTCTCTTTCGTTCTTTCTTTCTACTTTCCCTTTCCCTTTCTTCCATAGATCCTGATTTTTATCTCTCACACCTCTTTCTTCTTTAACTCACTCTCACTCCTGTTAACGTAATAATTCTTTCTCCACCTAAAAACTAATTTTTCACTGTTTTTTTATTTCTCTTACTTCTCTCTCCCATTGTACTATATCTTTAATTTATCCATCTCCTTTATCTCATTTACTAACCCATTTTCTGTTGTTTTTCTTTCACTGTCACTTTTTTTCCAACTTAATATCACTTTCTCCTCTCGCATTTCTCTCTCTCTCTCTCTCTTTCTTTTTCTCTGCGGTTCTTTATATTTCTTATCTTCTTCCTCTCTTTTTCTTTCGATCAATATTTTTTTAATTGTTTAAAATAATCGTTTTAAATGCCCTTGATTAATTAATTTGACCTAATATTTCTTTATCCTTTGACGCATTCAATCTTTCTCCCTTCAATCTTGTTCTCTCACTCTCTCTCACTCTTTCTCCTCTCGCTCATCCTTTCTTCTGTATCACTTTTTTCTCCTTCATGTCTTTTTCATCTGTACCTTACTCTCTCTTCCTTGAACCTGACATTTCTTTCTCTTCTCGCACTTTCTCTCTTTCTCCTTGCATTCTCATTTCGCTCTTTCTTTCTACTTTCCCTCTCCCTTTCTTTCATACCTGATTTTTAACTCTCCCATCTCTTTCTTCTTTAACTCACTCTCACTACTCTAATTCTCCACTCAAAAAACTAATTTTTTCACTGCTTTTTACTTCTCTTACTTCTCCCTCCCATTGTACTATATCTTTAATTTATCTATCTCCCCTATCCAATTTTCTGACCCATTCTCTTTTGCTCTTTTTCCATTCTGCCTTTCTTTTCCAACTCAATATCTCTTTCTCCTCTCACATTTCTCTCTCTTTCTCTTTCTCTGCGTTTCCTTCTCTTTCCCTGTATTTATTATCTTCTCCCTCTCTTTCTCTTTCGATTAATGTTTTTTAAATTGTTTAAAATTATTGTTTTAAATGTTCTTGATTAATTAATTTGACCTAACTCATTCAATCTTTCTCCCTGCAATCTTCTTTTGTTTCTCTCTCACTTTCTCCTCTCGCTTACCGTTTCTTCTCTCTCTCTCCTTTTCCTCTTTCAGGTCATCTCAACCTAACCTAATTTTCCAGATTGAGGAGTTGGTGTCCATGTGAATCGAAGGCACGATAGCTCAAGTGGTAAGAGCAGCGGCGTATTGAGCCGAAGGTCGTGGGTTCGAATCCCGCTAGTGACCGCTTTTTAGCTTTTTCATTTCAATCAATACATTACATAAAAAGATTAACTAATTGAAATTTGTATTTAAATTTAAATTGTGTTTTGTTGCTTGTTAAAGTGAATGGCTTCCATTAAAACAAAGGGGACTTGAGTTTTATAGTTTTACCCCAACACACTTTTTTAATCTAAAGAAATGTATGCATTAAACATGTTCGATTTCATAATTATGTTTTGTTTTCGTTTTTTACCTTTTTAATAAAGTTTGTAAAATCCTTTACTCGAATAAGTACGTTGCGTTCTGTTGTAGAAGTACGAACTTTTCTCTATTAACTAAGTATTGTCAATTGTTTAATTTATTAAACTTGCCATGAATTTATAAGACTAAACTTTTTATTTGGCTTAAATATACCCGGTCCGGTATTTAATTAACTTACTACTATACTACTGCTACGTTTTAAATAAGTAAGTTAAAGTATTATTTCGCACATGAATGAAGAATAAGCATAAATTGTAAATGTGTTCATAACGCGTGACGAAAACCGTTTTTAATAATTTGGTCGATTTTCCAGAGGTCAAAATGAATGTTATAACGAACAAAAAAATTCACGTTTTCTTATATTTAAGAATTTATCTGTTGCTTATTTTTGTTTAGTGCCTACTTTCCTCGCTATACTTGTTCTGTTTTTATCATGTAAAATTACAATTTACAAGCAATCAATTCTAAAAAAAAAAGGAACTGAGAACGAAAGTATTTTGTTTTTCCTGTATTTCTGATCGTTGAAAAATTATAAAAATCCTTGAAGTAATAATTTTCTAAAAACCAGGTTTATGTTAATAAAAAATATATTGATTTATTTAATTTACGTACGTAACCGCCATCTTTTGAAATGTCTGACAACCGTGTATTTTTCTGACAGCCGCTAGATGGAGAGTCGACCCGTGTACGCGAGAGTCCAAGCCATCACAATTCGATATAAACGTTATATTTTATTCGCAAAAAAATTCATTTACAAAAAATCACGATTTAATTGACAACTGAGTCAATGGGTGAATAATTGTTCATCAAATATTAGGATAGCGACAATGACTATCTGGAGATCGTGAAATGCGGTCTGGTTTGACGTGGGTTTTAGAAAAACATTTTCTTTATCTTGCCAATGTTTCGATCTTTATTGAGATCATCTTCAGGGCCTGGGATTTATAAACATTGGTTAAATTTTACAAATACGTGTAGTATGTGTGTGTATTTGTAAAATTTAAACAATAAAACAAATAAAACATTATTAGCATATAAATATTCAGTTTTTATTAAAGCTAAAAGCTTCTTTTTCAGGCAGTTTTTGTTTTCAAATGACAATTCCACAAATCTTAACAAACTGCTGCACGATGAGGTCAAAAAAGACTTTTCCATTTTTTTTTTCCAAATTACAATTGACATGAATTGTTTCGTATCAATGGGGTCTCAGCAGTGTCATGTTTCCTGAATGAAGACATGTCAGAAGGCTCATTAGGGGGGAAAAAAAACTAGTACATAATTCTAAGTAAGAAAATTAATCTACATCACATTAATTAATTTTCTAAATTTTATTATTTTAGATGTTGGAAATAAATAGAATATTTATTTCCTAGGTTCACAAGATATATGCCACTGTAGTTATCATGTTTGTAACAATAGCTGTATATACATTATTTAAAATTGCTTCGTTACTGATACTGAGATGTATGAAATTTGATTTTGAAAATACATTTTTGAACTTATTTTTTTATTTTTTCTATTTTTGATTTTAGACTTTTTAGATTAGATCTTTTAGGGACACCCGACAGCTTGATGATTCCAGCCCCGAGCGCATGCGAAATACAATACACACTCACACAAATAAATACATTCACACCTATATACATTGCATTCATTCAGCCCCTACCCATTCACTCTAATAAATACAAAAAACAGAAACACAAAACATATATTTTGATATCTATATACAATAAAAAATCCCCGATTTCTCTAGAAAGCAGAACGGGGGACCCTGAAACTTGCCACCATGTCTGAGAACCATTCTTCAACCAGGCAAACCTACACGCTCTCTGTATGGAGCCAAGGCATGACATGTCTCTATTATGTGGAACATATTGAGCAACCTTTCTCTGCATAAGGGGCACCTGTGTGGGCTCTGGCCCAAAAGCAGGTGCCTGTGTATGCCCAATCCTCAATCAGGTGAGGACGGTCCCTTGCCTACTGCTCAGGTTCTCTGCTCAGGATCTATCGGTCATGCTCTTGACACATGAGAGCCTATCCGATGACCTCACCCCCAGATGCTGCCATCTTTCTTTTATTGTTTTTCACTGCGTGCTTAGCATCAGAGGGCCTGATCTCGAGGGTGGGATGTCCCAGATTTGGCCACCTCATCCGCATGTTGCCGAGATTTTTTCTAGTTATAATATTGTTTGTGAACATATAGTACACATTCATGATAACAGTCAGGAATGACCATAGTCATTGTAGGTCATACATTCTATGGATTCAATTTTGTAACTTACAGCTTCATCAATACTGATCATTTTGATCAACTATTCTCTTCATGTTTTCAATGAACAGAAACTCGACACAATCTGACCTGATTTTGAATTGGTTTTCAATAATTGATTTTTGTATTAAACTCATAACAACTTGTGTATGAAATAGAGTCATATTACAATTGTTAAAACCATGATTCCATACAAAATGTATGTCAAAATCTTACCTCCTTCCAGTTCATTTTAAATCACTGTATTTCACTGGTGAATCTCAAGTTAAAATTTCAAACCTGACAACATTGTTTATTAGTTATTGCAAGATCATTTATCACAAAAGCCAAGACCCTAATTACTGGTTGCATTTATGCCATTTGAATTAAATAACCATAAACTAAATTTTGCACTGTGCAAGCGCATCAATCATTATATGTAAACTAGGGTTGTCGTGCTGATAAGCTATAATGATTGCAATAGGTCTAGACATTTTATTATTAATACCCTAGTTCAAAAATATACAACTATATATAAAAAATTTAATTTATTTTAAATCAGTGCATGTAGGGCCAATTGCTGTCTTAGCCAATTTTCAAATTTCCATTAAGCATTTAGTTTATATGTATTATATATTGTCAGAATGTTGTTGTTATATAACCTAAAAACTTGTGAAAATAAATTCATTCTATTTCTTATATAAAAATAGAAGATATTAAAATAAATTCACTGGCTCTAAATGAGGGAATTGTCTTTAATTGAACTGGAAAAGATTCAATTTTCCTAGTTGGGGGGGGGGGTTCATGATGTTGTCCATTGTATTATATGTAAAGTAGGGTCATATTTGATAATCGCAGAAGCGTTTAGTTCAGAAGGTAAACTTGAGTGAGCCGTTTCAATTTACCTCAGTTAACTATTAACTTACATCTGAAAACGTGGCCTTATCCGTACAGGGGTAAGTAATAATATTATTTAATAAAAGGAAAAAAAAAAAGCAATAAAGTACAGTAAAAGCCTGTTTAAATCTTGAAATTTTGGATTTCATGTTAAGTGAACTATAAACCTTTAGTTTATACAAAGGCAGGTGATTTAAGGAGAAATAAACTGTGGGTATTTTTAAAATTTTTTAAAAATAGAACTGTGAGCTAGATTGAAATTTAGAGATCAAAAGTGGAATAGACTGAGTTTGATGACAGTAGGATGGTCATTCCTGATCATCCCGACCCCCCTCTGTAGCTGGCCAAAGATGATCAGGGATGATCAAACCATTCAAAGAGTTATATTCCCTTTTTTCATATAATTGGATTTACACAAACAAATACAAACTTAAGGTAAACTGAGTTCTTATGTATTCACTGTAATTGTGAAAAAATTAATCTCAATTTAATTATAATTTTATTTTATTTATTTTATTACAAGGGGAGGCTACAGAAACATTTTAATGAAACGTTTTTGTGGATTAGGTCAAAAATATTTAATAAAACACATGTATGTGTTTTCACAAAATATTTATATATATTTTAAACTGAGGTAAGAAAATAAAAAGTGGAATTTGTAATAACGTTTCGTGTAAAGTAAGCCAAAAAACATTTTACTTAAAAGAGATGTTTGCATGTTGTGCAGTTTCTATCGTTCTACACCTCTGTATACTTTCCAGAGGACCAGTGGAGTCATGTCAAACTTATCATAATGTTTGTGATTTACGAACAAAAAAAAAAAAAATTGGAAGGCTTTGAAGGGTATCAATTTTGAGAAATTTTTTTCTAAAAATTGTACTCAGGGGTTATTTAGGGTGAAAAAATATCAATTTTGGTTCCTGCTAAAAATATACCTACTTGGTATACATGTACACATTTCAATATTTACGATACTATGTGATGCTTTTCCTTTGTAAAAAAAAAAAGCCTTTTGGTTTTTATAACTTTTTACATATTTCATCTCATTCATTACAATTCAGCTTAAATTTATTATTTATCGTTATTGTAGGTAAAAATAACTTCCCTTATTAGCAAAAGTGGAATTATGTGCTACTTTGGCACTAACCAAATTTGTCAAAATCTACAATTTTATTTCTAATAAATAATAACTATTATATCACAATATTGCTGATAAATGATATATCCACTTGATAAATGTCTTTATGCACACATTACAATTGATTCTTCTAATTTACTATTCTCTATAGAGTTAAAAACCATAGAAAATGCATGTAAATTGCATCAAAAATATACTTTAGCTGCCCAATAGATATAATATGCTACACAATAGTATCAAGATAGCTGGTGAATTCTGCACTTAATTTGCAAATAACGGATATAAAAAAAATATATCTTTAAGGCATCTTATTTTATCATTAATTTACAATAATACATAGCCTATCATTTTCTTCCAAAATTATTTTCATGTATTGTCAAAACTTACCCATTCATCTTCTCTGTGATGATGGTTGTTCACTTAAGTAGAGAAAATGGATGTAATAATCCAGTGAAACAATCGGTGTAAAAATGAAAGGTTAATATTTTATTTTTTTGTGGACAGTTGAAATATTAAAAATATTAAAATTTGCTTAGTATCATAAACCCACCATAAAGTAAGCTTTAATCAATTATGATGATTGCATTTTTTACGATAATTAAATTATTGAATTTTGATTTTAGGTGCATACAATTTGAATCAATTGCTCTTCATTGAATTAATTATTCAGCCGGTGAACAGCAGTTATTGAAATCAGAATAATGCTCATGCATATTAGAACATGATGGCCTTTTGAAATATTCAAATTTATTCAATTCAATATTTCATGGTCTTTTTAAATTTTCTTTTTAAATCCTACAGTAAGTGATGATAATTTTAAGACGACACGGAAAACCGGCTAAACACGTTCTCTCCACGCCTACAGTGAAGAGGGACGTTATCGTAAGATTTCACAAGAAAATTTTATAGTATAATAGATAAAGATTATAAAAGAAAGATAGATAGAGAGAGTGAGAAAAAGTGAGAGTGAGGGGGGTTAACAGTTTTTAGTTAAACTAAACAGTACAATGCAAAATACTGTAAATGAAAATGGATCAGTCCAACTTTCTAGTGCAGGTTGTATCACTAAAAAACACATTAAAAATAATCTAATAAAAAGTAATATTATAACCAAAAGTTTCCCACTTTCATTACATATTTTCTTCCCATCTACATTGGTTTCCTAAAATCAGAACCGTTTTAATAATTTTTCACACCCAAGAATTTCCTCTTCTGAAAATCTTGATGTTCGTTGCATAATGAACGATGCCTTCAACAGTCTGAAAGTTACAGAATAAAGTTCTCAAGAGCCCATCTCTCACATAGCAATTTGAACCTGATGAATATGATTTAAACCTTTGATGTAGTAGTTTAAGCTTTTAAGAAAAATTAAAAAATACTCCGTTAATTTTGCATTGTCATTATGAAAATGGACTACATTTATATTCACTAATACTGTCCACGATGATAGAATTTTTCCATGATTAAGCGATGTAATTAATGGATTGTGTTTTCTTAATCATGGAGCATACCAAAGCTTACCAAAACATAAGAAGTTATAAAGAAAGAAATAATTAATGAATCGACAGATCATCCGGAAAACTTATTTAATATTTGAGAAAAGCTGTTAAGATGGTGAAATGCGAAAATGTTTCTGTCTAAACAACTAAGCAATTTAAAAAAAGAAAAAAAGAAGAATGTTAGAATCTTATCATCATATTGTCCAAGTTAATTCATCGAACAATACCAGGGATATCTATTTTGGTTTCCGATCGCTTTGGTTTAGCCTATCAACGGCATTTTGGTAGGCCAGACGCTTCTCGCTATCGTCAGGGGTTGATTTTATTCTTTTAAACGTCAAACAGTAACAATAATTAAAACAACTTAAATAGTCAATGTTTAAAAATGGAATACAAACATAGATTGTGAGATTTTTCCATGTCGGCGGGGGTGATTAACCTGTAATTTGGACGGTATCAAACATTTGTTGTCTGCCTATCTTCGCTGGGTTGGGTCTGTCAGATGTTTCGGCATTTCGCCATCTTCTGTCCTGAGGTTGACAAACACAGAAACAGGTAACAAGCATTACTTCTACATATACAGAAAACCAGCAGCGACCGACAATATACAAGCCGACTGAAACCACCCCACCGACACAAAATGGTAGCATTAAAATTCAGGAGAGTACCACTCATTAAAAAGAAATACGAAATCGAAAATTCAATCACAATCGACAAAATAATAAACAAAACAATACCATAAAAAGAAACACTAACTGGATCGCATTCACATACGAAGTGAAAGAAACGTATAAACTAATGAATCTATTTAAAAAATTAGGCATTAAAACAGCACTAAAAGCCACAAACACAATCGGAAAAAAATTAAAAAATGTAAAAAGAAAAGGGACCAACGACCACCAGACCGGAACAATAAAAACACTCAGACTTAATTCACCAAGGCACCGACAAACCCATCTCACACAACCTTATAAAAGTGACTTAAATTCACACCAACACTGAAGATGGGGAAATGACGAATCTCTCAGTCTCTGTGTCTCTCTCTCTCTCATGTTCTTTCTCTCTTGCTCTCTCTCTTTCTACCTCTCTCTCTCTTTCTACTTCTTTTTCTATTTCTCTGTCTTTATCACTCTCTCTTTCTATCCTTTTCTCTCTCACCTTCTCTTTCTCTCTCTCTCTCTATCTCTTTCTATCTCTGTCTCTCTCTCTTTCTATTCTTTTCTCTCTCTTTTTCTATCTCTTTCTCTCCTTCTTTCTATCTCTTTCTCTCTTTCGATCTCTTTCTGTCTCTCTTTCTATCACTTTCTCTCTCTCTTTCTATCTCTTTATTTCTCTTTCTCTATTTATCTACGAAAAGTGTCTGATAGACAAACACAAAGATGGATCACAATGCCAGCGATTTTGGAACATCTACTCAACATCGATATCAAAGCATTAAACATGTACATCGATGTTAAAATTATGGAACAAGAAAATGTTTCGTTATAAAGTATCGAAACTTCGAAACATCGGCGTCCAATATCTTTCGAATATTAACCTGTTCCAAACCGTAAAAATTATCTCCACGTTTCAAAATATTTATTAATTTTATATTATTTATATTGGAAATAATAATGAATATATTCTGCCAATAGTGTTTATGATGCGATCACCGCGAACACACACCGTCTATCTTCCATCCATCCTGTCCCCTAAAATCTTTAAAAGAATCCACCTCCCAAAAAATTACTGTATTTTTATCACATATACAAAAATTTAATTATGTCAAGTTTTTGGATGTTTAGTTATTTCGCTCTAAAAATTTAGTTTCATATTTTCATATTTCTGCAGTTGTGCTTTTTAAGTATTTCCCTAAACTGCAAGCATATCTTCCAAAACAGGTTGTTTCAATTTGAAATCATCGTGCCTGAGTGGGGGTAACAGTGGGGTTCAATGAAAGGAAATAACCATTTATTTTATTTTATTTTTATGGATAAACTAAACAAATATTTATACTTTTATGCTTTAGTGGTCAATTGACCAAGTTACTTCTTTCAATTAATTATTCTTTTTATGTAAGCTCTTGGTTGAGATAAAAACGTCAGTGTCACGAGCGGGATTCGAACCCATGATCTGCGGCTAAATACGCCGCTGCTCTACCACTTGAGCTATTGCGACCTCGATCCTTTCGGACACCAACTCTTCATCTCAACCTACAACCTACCTACTCCGCCGTAATAGAAGAAGGCTCATTGAAAAATTATGAGAACTAATATCGTACTACTGACCCCCTGACTTTTGCCCTTGGTCAATATAAATTTCAAAAGCTGCTTTCTTACCCAGTAACTTTTACGTTCACCACATTTCCCAATACTTGCTTGATAATTGCGAAAGTAATTTTTGTTTAAACGTGGCAGCAGTCCGACGTGGTTGGAAAATGAGTAAAAACGGGCGTAAAGAATTATTAATTAATTATTGGCAAAACGTTGTCAAACAATGCTATACTAAGATAAAAAGTTTGTTTTTAAATATGTACTGATTGGGAAGATCCTCTGGCCGATTAAAGTTGATGGGGCCTCAAGGCCATCAATGGAGATGAGAGGGTTAATCGCTGAAATTAATAATAAATTCTTTCAATTAATTAAACTTTATGCAAGGTATTGGCTGAAATAAAAAAAGCCAGTTTCACGAGCGGGATTCGAACCCACGACCTTCGGCTAAATACGCCGCTGCTCTACTACTTGAGCTATCGTGACTTAGCAGAAGTCGTGCGTTCGAATCCCGCTCGTGACACTGGCTTTTTCATTTCAACCAATACTTTACATAAAAAGAAAGAAGGACAACGAAATATAATGGATTGTACACTATGTTTTCGTCAAATTATCAGGGAAAAGTCGGAAAAATATTTTGTGGCAGAAATGGTTGATTGTGTTGAAGATTCTCTTGAAGAGTTATGTCAAGATTGTTTTGAACTCACAACACTGTCTCATAGAAGAAGATTCCATTTATGAATTGACTCATGAAAATGTCGTCTTCAATCTTCTTTAAACATAAAACGGGATCGGCCTCTTTGAGGCAGCAAAAAATATCTTTTTTGGATATACAGCTTAAAAAGATGATACAAACATTACACATCGAACGCATTTATATTTTTATTTTGATCTTTTTATTTTATGTATTAAAATTTTTACATAAATGTTGCTTATTTTTAATGTTTTTTACGTTTGTATTGATGAATTTTTTCGTTTTTGTAGTACCTAATTAACAATAATTAAGAATCATGATGTGTGCCTATAAGCGCATTAAATTGTAGCTAAATAAGCTAAATATTATTTTTTAAGGACTTAATTTAATGGTAGATAAATGAAGTATCCTTGCATTTTAACATAAAAAATCAATAGGATGGAGGTACATTACATTTTCATTTAAATGGTTAATTGCTAAAAAATATGAAAATAATTAACATAAAAAATAAATACAATTACATATCCTCAATATGTAATCTCATTCAATAATTATATCATTCTAAAATATCACAATAATGAATTGGTTAATTTTTTCTGTGCGAAATATAATAAAAATTCTAAAAAAGTTAAAAATAGATTCATACGGGGTTGGTCACCCCGTATTAGTTTTTATATTATAAGTAATTATAATTTGTTTGTTTCAAAATTAAAATTAAATTAGAAAAACACAATTAACATTATAAATTATTCAGAAATCGTGAGAAGCGGTCTGGTGTGATGTAGCTTTCAGAAAAACATTTTCTTTATCGTGCCAACGTTTCGATATTTATTGAGATCATCTTAATGGCCTGGGATTTACAAACATTGTTTAAATTTAACAAATACATGTAGGATGTGGAAAAAAGTGAATTTATACAATGCAAAATATATTTTTTTAATATTCAATCAAAGTATTTCTACTCACTCAAAGTGTTTGTCTTCTGTGTAATTGTGCCATTCTTGCGTGTCGTGTTGAGAATGCCGGTGAGATATTGCTGTTTTATGTTTATATTCTTTGGATTTTGAAGGGGTGGGGAAGAAAGTAGGTATAGAAAAGACATTTTTGTATAAGGCGTCGGCTTCTTTGAGGTGAAAAGGCTCTTTTCACGCTGGCACGATAAAGAAAATGTTTTTCTGAACCTTCATCACACCAGACCGCATCTCACGATTTCTGAATATCTATCGACTAACGGTCACTAATCACCACACATAATATTATAAACTTATTGCGAAGTAGGTTTTGTAAATAAAACAAGAAATTACAAATATGATAAGATTTATTATGTTGAATAAATGTTTTTATACATATAAAATTATTATTCGACGATTATTCTTGTTGAAAAAAATGCATTTTTGTATTTACACTTCATATAAATAATTTTACTGAGCAATTATGTAGAATTACTCTATATTGGCAATATGGTTTTTCAGATATTATTATAAAAAGAAATGGACGAGCTGACAATTCCAGAATACTTCGCTGGGAAAAATGTATTAGTGACAGGGGGTACAGGTTTTATGGGTAAAGTTCTGATTGAAAAGCTGCTTCGCAGTTGCCCTGATGTTAATACAATTTACGTACTTGTTAGACCAAAAAAGGGGAAAACGGCCCAAGAAAGATGGGACGCTGCCACACAAGTTGCAGTAAGCTGGGCATACAGTTTTCCTTTTGTTGGAAAATGCTAATCGGGGTTTCTCCTTCTAGCTCTTCGATAAACTAAGACAGACAATGCCTGAACAGCTAAAACGAGTCTATGTCGTTGAAGGAGACATCGATAAGCCCGATCTCGGTTTGAGCCAGGAAAAGAAACAAGTATTAAAAACAATTATGAATTATTTGTATAAGTAAGTACTTAATCAAACGAATTTCCAGCTTTTAAAAGAAAATGTTCATTTCTTATATCACGCTGCTGCAGCTGTCCAGTTTACCGAAGATCTGATTTATTCGTTCAGAGAAAACACTTATGGAACGTATTTGGTAGCTGAACTGGCCAAGTCTATGAAACATCTTAAGGTTAGGAAATTCGCCTAATGAAATGGAGATTTTGTTAATAAAATTATTTTATGTTCTAGTGCTTCATACACGTGTCAACAGCATATTCAAACTGCAACATGCATTGTAAGAACGTTTTAGAAGAAATCTACCCTTTAGATCTAAACTGGAAGCCATTGATCGATTTGCACAAATCGGACCCGAGAACAGTGGCAATACTAAAAGATAAGTATGTATATGCAATATTTACAGTAACAGAAAATAGCAAACTTTTTTTAAAAAATAGAGTCATGTGCGGCCATCCTACTACATATACACTCACAAAGGGTTTGGCAGAGCAGGTTATGAACGATTACAGCCAATACTACCCTGTAATTGTAATTCGTCCTTCTCTTGGTAATTTATTTCGTTCTTCTTTACTGTATAAAATTTTAATTTCACATATTTCTAGTTCTGGCCACTTTAAACGATCCGATGGAGGGCTGGGTAGACATGCTGAACGGCCTGACGACCCTGATTCTCGCTGTCGGGGCTGGAGTTTTGAGGATAATCATTGGCCGGAAGGATTCCTGTCTTGATTTTGTCAGTGTTGACCATTCTATCAAGTGTTTCATCATTGCAACATACCTAGAAGGAAAAAAGTAATTTTTACAAATTATTGGAGTGAATTTCAATATAGTATAAGACACAGTATAAAATGCATTCTCTTCGTGTTATACATCAATAGATTTATGATAGGGGGCGTCGGTGGTCGCAACGGTTTAGGCGTTGACACGGGGCTCATTACTGTAAGGTAAAGGTCCCGGGTTCGAATCCAGCGGCTCTGCATTTGAACCCGACATACTTACAAATGGGCTTTTTTCAAAAACATCGTCACCCCGAGGGTTGATATGAACTCTGCTGTTGCGAACCCACGTTAAAAAAAAATGTATATAAAATATGTATATGGCAAAATTAAATATCACACATATGGTGGTATGTATATGGTCATACAATGAACGGTACGTTGGCTTTGTGCTGTGTAATATGACATATGCATACACATAAAAAGCAGCGGAATATGGAATTTGGACATGACAACATAATATATTTAACATCAAGTGTATGAAGTGGTGTAATATGAGCAATGATAAAGTATAAAGAAAAAACCATGAGAGACAGAGGTTAGATAACAAATGAACGGCGAAAAATGAGAGTTGACATATAAGAGATGAAAAAGGGCGGATCATAACTGAAAGATGATAGATTATCAGATGACAGATTATAGAGGTCCCAAAATATATTAGACGAAAAATTATAAATGATAAAGGATAAAGCATAAAGGAAAGAGAAGAGATGACATATGATTAGATGATAGATGACATGTAAAAGATGACATATACGAGACAGATGACGGATGGTAAATAAAAACGGATTGGCCATCAGATGACAGATTATAGAAGTCAGATGAAAGGTGATAACAAATGATGAATGATAAACGATAAAGTGTAGTTGACAGAGGAGAGATGACAGATGTTAGATGAGAGTCAGAGATGGCAAGTATTAGATTGTAAACGATAAAACACAGATGACAAAGGAGAGATGACAGATAAAACTGTCAGATGCGAGATGACTATGATAGGTGACAAATATAACATGATAAATGTCAAATGAGGCTTCATATGCAATTAATTATAAATGAAAGTAAGGGATGATAAAGATATTATATAAGAAATGAAAGATAAAAGCTAGATAGATAAAAGATGAAAGATATCTGATGAGAGATGATATGAAAGAGATTATAAATGATGAATGGCTGATGGCAGATGACAAATGCCAGATGGCAAAAGATAAACGGTAAAAATGTTAGATGAAATTAGATCTGAGAGATGACTCATGTGAGATACGAGATGGCAGAACACAACTGTTGGATGATAAATGATGAATAACAAAAGATATATTTTTATAATAAATGGTCAATGGTTATTGATTAATAATATCTAAATAATTATTTGGAGATCGTGAGGTGAAGTCTGGTGTCACGTAGGTTTTAGAAAAACATTTTCTTTATCGTGTCAACGTTTCGATCTTTATTGAGATCATCTTCAGGGTTCAAGGTGTTTGTTTTCTGAGTAATTATGACATTCTTTTGTGTCGTGTTGAGAGTGCATCTCAAACTCTTAACACGACACAAAAGAATGACACAATTACGCAGAAAACAAACACTTTGAGCTCTGAAGATGATCTCAATGAAGATCGAAACGTTGGCACGATAAAGAAAATGTTTTTCTAAAACCTACGTCACACCAGACCGCACCTCACCATCTCCAAATAATCATTGGCTAACGGTCACTACCGTATATCACACAAATCTCTAAATAGTTAAAATTGGCTGACCACAGCAGCTGGCAAACCTGGTGTAGTTAGCTTACTTAGTTTTATGTTTTCATTATTTCCTTTTTATTACAATGGATTTAACTGAAATTTACGATTCATCTCTGGAATCCGCAATGGGCAAAAGCGATATTAAACATCCACTCTTAGTTCGGTATACACATTTTTTCCAGAAAATTACCTAAAAAATAAAATTCTCCTAGACAGTGTAATATTTTTGTTATAATTGCGTTCAATTTAATATAATATATAATATTAAAAATAATATCATATTTAATATTATATACAATTATTCGGAGATCGTGATATGAGGTCTGGTGTGACGAAGGTTTTAGAAAAACATTTTCTTTATCGTGCCAACGTTTCGATCTTTATTGAGATCATCTTCAGGAATCAAAGTGTTTTTTTCTGCGTAATTGTGTCATTCTTTTGTGTCGTGTTAAGAGTTTGAGATGCACTCTCAAATATATCATTATTTTCACTATAAACAAACTATTTGCTTCTTTTATCGTAGAAATAGGACGAATGGGATTGAAGTGGTCAGCTGCAATTACAGTGATGATTTAAATTTAAAGCTAAGTGAAATAACTGAAGAATGCCATGACTTCGTCTGCCGATATCCTCTGGAGGAGTGTTTGTGGGCTCCATCGTCGTCTTTCGTCACCAACAAATTCTTATTCGGTATCCTATTCTTTTTATTTCAAATAATCCCCGCAATCTTGGTCGACACATTTCTCATTGTGAAAGGAGATAAACCAAGGTAAATCAATTAATTCGAAATCATCTAAAGTATTTACATTTGTATCTCATTGTTTCAGGTTGATGAAGCTGACAATAAAAATGGCCCAGGCTTTCAACGGCCCCATATCGTTTTTTTCGACGAACGTTTTTTGTTTTCCGAACCACAAATTTAAAACCATGTCCACCTACCTCCATCCAAAAGATATGGAGGACTTTTCATATGATTTCGCTAGGACAGATACGAAGAAAATAGTGGACATAAACACTTTAGGTACTTACAAGTACCACTTGAAATTAAGCACGGAAAAAGAGCATTTAGAAAAATTAAGGAAGAGGCATCAAAGGTTGTGTATTATTATAATATGTGAAGTTTCTAATCATTGCTTCCGTTCAATAATGACATATTTTCTTTCAAACTGTTTTTCAGGATGTTGTATATTCACTACGCAGTATGTGCATTCCTTTGCTTCCTCTGCGGTTATTCTTTGCTAACTGTAATGAAATATATCTACTTTAAACTGGCGGTTTGAATACTTTTTTTTTTAAATAAAGGATGTAATGTGTATAATACCAAATAGATCAACCTTGTCTTTTAATAAACCATTATCCATATCCTGACAAATATATCAATATTATTAAACTTCCACGGTTTTGGCTAATGTAAAACGCTTATATTTTATGGTTTCAAACTGGATTTTGTCATCTACAATCTAAAAGAATTTTCCGTTCTAAAGTTTGACGGATTTGGAAGCTGACGCCTCCTCCATCTGAAATAGGTTTGCATCACATTTGACATCCCAACCCTGTTGGCAGAAAGCTTTCTAAGATGTTCCGTTACGTCTTAATTTTCATATTCCATAAACAGTCACCATCCATAAATGGGCAGTGCCAAAAGATTGTCAATACTATAATATTGTATTTACATTTATTTTTTTATTATTTGGAGATCGTGAGATGCGGTCTGGTGTGACGTAGGTTTTAAAAAAACATTTTCTTTATCGTGCCACGTTTCGATCTTTATTGAGATCATCTTCAGGGCTCAAAGTGTTTGTTTCCCGTGTAGATGGGTCATTCTTGTGTGTTGTGTGGAGAGCGCTCATTTATTTTTTTATTTATTACATATGCATTATTTATTACATGACTTCTGGACATTTTTCTTTGGTTAATACAAATGACAATTTGTAAGTTTTTTTAAACTTTCTAATTTGTTTCCATTCAGGGTTGGTGTGAAAATGTTAAAAGAAAAAATCCCCAAGATTAGCCATGATATTTGTTTATAATTTATTACCAGCGTTTGATTGGGTTGAAACGAACTAGAATCATACTTAAAACAAAGGAAGGAAAGAAAAAGGATTTTGATTAAAGTGTCCTTTAGAGACCAAAATATTTTTCTATTTTAGTGTAATCGGTAAGTCAGTCAGCAGTTGTCAACTGTTTAAATGTTTAAAGACCAAATTATTTGGTTTTGGAAAGAAAATTATATGATTTTGTGTAGAACATGTAGATTGGCGAAAATCTTATGATTAATAAGTGTAGAAAATAATTGTGGCAACCCAAACATCGTCAATGACTATGATAATGAACTTATTTTTACTTTCAAGATTTCGAAGAATTAAGCATTAAATTTTTAAATTAAGCATTTAAATGTTTCTGAAAGGCATTTTTGAGCACAATTAATTCGTTTTTTTCTTGTTAACATGAATTCACTAATTTCGTGGTCCGCGTGACCAATTAATATATTACAATTAAATTCACTAATTTCGTGGTCCGCTTGACCAATTAAACATTACAATTAATTAAGGTTTTTAGTTGAGATGAAAAAANAACCAGCATATTACTTATCTGAACTACCAAAAAAGGTTTTACGTGATATTTTTTGGGGGGATTTAAATTAAATAGATCACAGTAGAATAGGTTTACAATTCAACCAATCCTTTTTACAAGACCTATTTTATAACCAGAAACCTTTGGTTTGAACTATGTCTAGTTATATTTCGTTAAAGTAAAATGGTTTCTATTCGAGATCTTCTCTTATTTCATGTACTACTTTTACTTAATTATCTTCACACTCAATGACAAAGTGAACATCATTGTACTTTTTATCTCCCCCCACCGATTATGCACATTATGAAGAAGGCAAGCCATTTAATTATGCCTACTTGAGCTATCAAGGAACTCGAATATAAATATTTAAATAATCAATACGTTTGACATATTTTTCTATTTTTGACATGAATTTCATATGAATTCAAAGAGCTATGAAACACGAAGGAGTATTTTTGAACAGTTGGTCATGCAACACATGCCCGTGTTGTTGGTTGCATACTCGTATACCCTTCCCATTCATTGTTTTATTCGTTTTTGATTCATGTCTAACGTTGTTATTAAATGTAAATGAACGACTGGTCATAGTTAATTTGTAAATATCCACAATACGTTTTTGAATTGATTTTTCTTAATCACTTATAATTGTTTGGCTCTCTCTCTTTTCTTTCTCTTTCTTTCTCTCTCTTCCTCTCTGATTTTTAAATACTGTTTATAATTAAATGAAAAACTATATTGTGAAACCGTGAAACCAAGACTTCANGAGATAGGGAGAGAGAGAGAAGGAAAGAAAGAGAAAGAAAAGAGAGAGAGTCAAACAATTATAAGTGATTAAGAAAAATCAATTCAAAAACGTATTGTGGATATTTACAAATTAACTATGACCAGTCGTTCATTTACATTATTTATAATTTATACATTATATATATAATGTAATATTATATTCATACTTAGATAAAATATACGGTGGCGTGATATTATCATAGTCTATTAGTAAACAAAACGCTGAAATAAATTGTAGCTCGTACAGTTCAATCATACAATATGAAAAAAAGTGCTTAACATCAAACGTGAATGACACCACGTTACAATAATTGACCGGTCTAAGCATAAAAAACGTCGAATTAACTTTTAATAGCACAAAGACAATGCCGTACACAAATATCTAATTCCGAATTGATATTTATAGAAACCAGTGTATTAATGGTCTTTTATTTTATTTTAAAATTTTTTTAAAAGGATCAAAGCCTTCCAAAAATATCAAAAATTCAAAACACAATTAACAACTCACCCGTGTTTATCAAGGGTTAATTAGTTTTAAAAATATATTTGAAACACGCTGTACTGTGAACATAAAACTGGCATAAAACATTTGCATAAAACAAACAATTTGTAACAGGGACAATAGTGGTATTCAATATGTTTGTAACGTTCACTAAGATCGTGAACGCCCCCTTCTTTTTTTAACATGTTAAACGTTAATTTTTCCGCAATGCTGAGCGTGGCGATTGGCAGAACCAAAAATAAAGATATAACAGTCCTTGAAGGCTTGTTGTTGTTTGTTATGGTTTTGTTTTATGTTAAATTGTAAGATGCCAGAAGATACTAAAAAAGAAAAATTAATCAACTCTTTCATTCAAAATGCTATCTATGCACTCGAAAAGTACTAACAAATGACACGCTTCAATTCTTGTCGACATATCTAACTTGTATCCTAACGTCTAACAGCCTACAACTTCATAGGATAGGTGATTTATCTATTATGAATGAGAGTATAAGGACAGGTCAGAAATTAATAAAAGAAATGTATTTGTCTGATTTAATTAAGGCGTATTTAAGAATAAAAATACTTGTAAACAAAAAACAGCTGTTAAACAAAAAACTCATGGCTGCCATGTTGGTTACCTACGCCCTAACAGATAGCAATGTGACTACATTTTCGACCTAACATCTAACATTGTCCCGTTAGGCGTGTTAGATCGAGCATTGTTAAGTAGCCAATTCTTACAACTCTACGTCATCATTTTTCTCAATCTAACAGAACCTAACAGAATTAGCAGGGCTAACACGAACCAAAAATAAAGCTATAACAGTCCTTGAAGGCTTGTTGTTGTTTGTTATGGTTTTGTTTTATGTTAAATTGTAAGATGCCAGAAGTTACTAAAAAAGGAAAATTAATCAACTCTTTCATTCGAAATGCTATTTATGCACTCGAAAAGTACTAACAAATGACGAAGATCGCGAATACCCCTAATATTGTACACAAAAGTGTTCAATAGGAAATTAATCATCTAAGTAATCTATAGATAGTGAAATACTTTGTTAAAGGAAAATGTGAAATATGTCTTTCAAGTGATATACAATCCAAAATTAAAACGATATGGAATAGTAATATTTTTAAGAGAAAAAATATTATTTGCATATTTTCAATGTAAGGTCATCACGTAAAAATAAAAATCGTGTTTTAATTATGTATATTATTTATAACTGCAGTCTATTTCAGATGTTTTATGTTGTAATTGAAATTCAATTGTGTGAACGTCGAATTGAAGAGGAATTAGAACATTTCATCTGAAAACGAATGTAAACCAGACTGTTCAGCAGTGCAGAAATCAAGGGATCAACATTAAATTTCACTATACCATTTTCTCCAGAGTAAAATATTTAAATTTCTTCGTTATAATACTTAAAACAAAGCTTCTTATAATGGTGTAATTAAAAAATGCTACTTATAACGGTTTGTATAAAATAGTTAAAATAAAAAACATAGGGCAATTTAAAGAAATAGAGAAAATGGACCTTTTTGAAAAAATTGAAAATTTATCAATTTCATTCAAAGATCCAGGATTGTCAGGATTTTTTCTTCTCTTTTCTTCGAACAATACAAAAAGTAACTGGACAGAAACACTTATAATTTGCTTTGGGCATTCTGAGTGGAACTGTGAGATTCTGCCAAGGCAGTCAATATCCAGTGCATCTGATTCTGCTAATCAAAAGTCTTCAGACGTATTGTCAAAGCTTCTTACCACACTAACTTCAATGACTTCTTCATAAACTCTTTTTTTGGACAACCAATTGAGCCCATTCGCTTCCGAAAAGTTCCGTAACAAGCTCCCGATCCATCCAACTTCTAAGCCCTGTGTACACTTTCTCATCCACAGGACCACAAGTGCAACCACGCTGTGTTAAACGACGATTACTCTACTCGCCTCAGATTTACCCTAAAGTTTTCTTTAGGAGCATATTTTTTATGCGAAAAAATTTTGATTAGGAAAATATTTTTTTGTGTTACCTTATAAAACACGGAATTAAAAAAAATAAACAAACATTAGAATTGTTGTTATTTGTTTCCAAATTTTGAAAACTATTTTTTTTTAAACTGCAACTAATTAGCGTGAATTCTATGATGGTACAGATTATAAATCCGTTTACAGAAAAATAAAAAATGCCGTTGTATAGAAACGATAGGTGCACTAATTTTGACGATTTAGTATTGCTGTCGTTTTAATTTGATTGATCAAATTTTTGTGAAAATTTACCCTTATTCTCTCATATTACCAGAGTTGTCTGGTTACTTTAAATACGAAGTTAAGAGAGAATAAAACACATAAATACATAATTATATCTTTTATTTTGATTATATTGAACAGGCTACAAATAAATTCTTATATTTAAACGAAAATGTAGCGAGAAAATAGCGCACATTGAAGATGAAGGACGAGCAAACTCTATGACAAAAAAAGTTA